ATTTAGTTATGAAACATAAGTATGTTATTGTTTGATTACTTGAGATCAACTTTAGCTCTAACTTGAGGAGGAAGAATGAGTAGTGTGCAACAAAATAAGTAGCCTCTAGCCGACAAATTTCGGTATATGGTGCAGCCACCTCTGTTGTATTCCTTGATACATACGCGCACTCCACCAAGTAATCTGCAAAGCTTTACTTTAAAGGTCATAATGTGTCTTGTCAATTTAAATTATTCATCTAACGCGACGCAAAATTCATTTCAGTCTAATGACTCGTTAGCTTCGTGATAACCCTATACTCATGACTGTGGTCGTCACTTATTACTAGATAGATGCATCTGATAGTATATCATGACTTATTTTCGCACGAAATCTATTTTAGAATAAGTCATACATGGTCTGAACAGCTTAGTGGTACAAACTTCAACTCCTGCTCTAAATGAGTCACTCTCCGATCTCTGAAACAATATAATTATGCATAGCAAGCACAAAACCTAGATCTAGGCCTTACATATGACTGATTTCACATGCTTTAGATCCAATTATAATGTCGATATTACCTTTGTAAAAGAAAGTTTGAACTGTCCAGGTGGTGCTATCATCAAATAAATACTACCTTCGTTCGTATATAACACAACTAACCAATCCTCCACCTCTTTCACAGGAATAAAAATTATTCAGCTTATCAAACTACTGTCAGATCAATAATGTAGAGCTGTATCACCGTCTCCTAACATTTGATCACTGTTATTAGAGTAAGGATCGGTTCCCAACCCTACTGTTGGAAATCGGTAGATAATGGGGACCTATGCAGCCTCCTATGCATAAATGAACTTCAGAGTGACAAGAAATCTTCCCATGTACACAGCCTGATGATGTGTAAATCTAGAAGGAGAAATGGGATGACAATGAATTATGATCACTTCAAGCAGGTTCAAAGCAGTCTAAACCTGGCCAAAGAAATGGCTGATGTCTCTCATTACAGGCAAGTGTAAAACAATGTACCTAGGGTATAAATGGCAGTAACACCCGAGATATGGGGGGGGGGGTTCTCTCACCTTTAGTATTGACCCACAACGGACTAGAAATTATTGCAAGTAATGGTCTGAGGACCATAGTGTACTGATGACTGACTGTAGCTCGGAGTTTCTCTATATTAAGTGCATTAGGTGAAACTTTTACTGGAAATATTAACTATATGTGCACCACCTTAATTACATCCCTAGATGCAGACCAGAGAACTGTGAACAAGTGACGGTTCTTTATTCGAACATTGACTCAAACCTTATGGAAAACGTTCAAAAGATAGCTACTGATATGATCCCTGTGATGTCTAACATGAGCTGTGAAGAATGACTTCAGTAGCTAAACGTCTTCTCTCCATAGATATTGGACAGACTTAGTCGTACTGGCCAAGATTTTAAGAAATTAATTTGAACCTTCTCATCACCCTTAACATTTATGGGGACCAAACGCTCTCAAGATGGAAACCGTTAATTTATTTAAAATTAGTTTACATCATTTATATGAAAGTCAACGGTAAAAGCGATTTGTTGAGAAGCATGCCTTGCTTAACTCTTCAGCAGATTTTTACTTTCTAGAAACCACTCAAACTAGATTTTTTGCTTTGTATAACTCTGAGTTATTTATTCAGTCGTAAGAATATGACTAAGAAGTCAAAGCTGTTTCATCTAGATTGCTTTTTAACACTTGTTTAGCTTGATTGAGGTATTGAGGATTATCGCACAGTCTATAGATTTAGTTAATTGGTTTATTGTTAGTCTGGTATTACAAATCGGCTTTCTTATGAGTTAGCTAACAGTAGGAAAAGATATTCTTTGTAACATACATCTATGTTTACCCATTACGTATTAACGTTTTGATGTTATTGCTTGTAATTTCCTGTCACTGACTGGACTGAATTGATCGGCCACTGTCGAAGTATCGGCTCCTGCTTAGAGGCCTCAATATTCCCGATACCTTTACTTTAATAGTTTTTATGGATAATGGCTAGCAGTGAAATCTACTACTCGCGTATCATTCCATTAGGACTCGTCAGCTTGTCGTTATTAAAGTCAATGAAGATAAACGCAGTTTCAGTGGTGTGTTTGCATATCGTCATTTCCAATGGCTTCAAGATCCTCACTCACCCTATTATGGTTACTCGATCTGGTGGGAATATAATGTCCGAAAACCGTCAAAAGTTATTATAATGGGATTAGTTCTAGACATCTTGAAGTCTGGTATATCATGTGACTGTGACGTGGTCAGTAGGGAACATGAAGATGTTAAAACGGTGTGCACAGAAATCAATATTTGTTTGAATTTCTTGGTTTCACTGAAGATCAGTATTCACAAAATAAGTTCCCGCTGTTAAGCAAACTTGTTATTCAGTTACTTCAAATTTTTAGACACTACTTCTAAGTACACTAATTTACAGACTGTTGACAAAAATCATACCATATAAATGGGAAGACTCTACCTGAAAAAATCCCTTAGAACTGGAGCATTGGGAATAAAAACATGAGACCATCGATCAGCTAGGCGTCTGTAAGAGACACAACAGTCAACCACTGGCTGAGTTGTGTTTCCGAATCTTGCAGCAACCCAAGTTTCCTTTTAACTTTAATCATAATCTCTTATAAACGGAAGTTTGTTAACTAAAGCAATTTAAGATACTGTATTTGCTAATAATATTTGTTTTAGCCATTCATGTAGCATAGCTTTCAAGAAAATATTGTTGACAAAGAAAATACTTGGCATAAATGAGAGTGGTAGGTTTGCTGCGCAGGTAATTAAGTTGGTTTGAGTAAGAAGAAAATTAAGGTTGAGACTAAGGGAAAAGAATAGCCTATTTTTGTCCCCCTCCTTCCCTACTTATTTCTTATTTCTGCCTAATATGATAGGGCCTGATAAGAAGATATATCGTATCACAATATACAAGTTATTATTCACTCAAATCTTAGTGGAACTAAATATTGATTAGCATTTGACTATTTGAGATAGCTGTGGTTTGGCAGGTTTGTATTGATACTGGGTCCCGCCGTGATCCGAATTTTCATTTCACCCTCAGTCATCACCCAGTATCAATACTAGTCTGCCAAACTATGGCTATCTCAGATAATCAATATGATACTCCCCCTTTCTGTTTCAGTTAGATTTGGATTGGGATGAAAAGTCCTGATTGGGCAGCCGGTATGAGTACGATCAAGCGGTGGTAATGTATCATGAATTCACATGGTAGTTAGGCAAAATCCATGGTGATTGAAGTGAAATAAAAATCTGGTCAACAGTTAGGCTTCGTAGCTCAGTTGGTGGAACACTAGGTTGGTAACCCGGTAGTGGCCGGTTTGAGTCCCGCCGCAGTCTAAATTCTCATGTCACCTTTAATCATCATCCAGTATAAATATTTGTTGTCTGGGACGATGACGAACTGCCATCGGTGTTCTAGTTGCATAGACTACTTTTTTCTCTATTGAATCGCAAAGCGTGGTGACTGCTAAGAAAAAGATTATCTATACATTTCATCCTTTAGTACTTAACTTTGTTTTTTAAAGTTCAGCCTACATTGATCATTTAAATATCTGCAGTACCATGCTGCTCTCATTACTCTTATCATCACTGAGATAGTTATTATCATTATTCTTATTACTATTATCTAGATATCTACTATTTGTATACTTCATTTCACTGTTACCACAGGTTAAAGAATCTACCGTGATTGGTTTAATGTTTTATGTATATAAGCGTAAAGCCTGATAAAAACTAATTGATAAAAAGTATTGTTCACTTATATGTCTTCTTCTAAAAATAGGCAGCAAATGGGTTTTCTTCCCATGGAAATGATCCAATAGTAGTTTTCATAACCAGACATAACTTTTCAAAGCCTCGCTTAAGCTAAAACAAACGTTAAAATCTGTTTCTTCAAATTACCCAGCTAATTAACAGTTGATGAGTATTCTTGAAATACTAGGTGGAACAAGCTCATTTATTTCAGAGTTATTTGAATTTTCATGATGATGGAGAAGCAAAATATCATCAGATTTTGGACCCTATTTAATAACAGTCATATTTCAAAGTCTCATTGAAATCTTCAGTTAGCTTATCACTCCAAAAGAATGGTTAATATGTCATGAAATTTTTAGCCTCACAGTTTTCCCTGTTAAATCAACTTGGCATTATTTCTGGCGCAAATAAACCTTGGTTGTGAATTCCTCATGAAACACCATCATTATGAGTATAATTACCGATGGAATGAAAGTTCATAATAATAATAATGTTCCATGTGATGATGAAGCGACCGTTCAATACTATATGTTCTTAGGTATTTTGAGCTGATTTTCCTCCTAAAGTTAATGTCTGCCCACTTAAGGTTGTGTCATTGGTTGGGATCAAGTTGGAGCTATTTCGATGCATTACAGCATTGAAACAGGCAATTTCCTTTTAAGTATAAAGTAACATTCGTACATATTTAGAGGTAGTATTCATCACGACTGATATCAGTTGGAGGACCATTAAAACCGGAAAGCACTGGACAGCTGTTTCGTCCTAGCATGGACACCTCAGCAATACGTAGTCCATGATGAATACTAGCTCCAAATTAAAATTCCCAATCATCTCAAAAATACAATACGTATATATTGTTTATGTCAACATTATATATACACATGTATATATGTTTCTATCGCACACTTTTAAAGAAATGTAGGCGCCGCTGAAAAGATGAGTAGTTAATAAACATTCAGGCTAATGTCCACGTTTTTGTAAATAAATCAGAATGATATGAATGTAGGACTAACCTTCTGTCTATTTTCGAACTAACCTCATCAGTATTATGATCCAACACATTCAACTCACTTTGGAGCTGAACTGTTGAGATGAGCTGAACCTAGATGAGTAACTTAGGCAGACCAGTAAATGATCAGTTTATAAATTAGTCTTCCAGAGATATATATTCATAGCGCGTTAATATAAGCTAGTTTGAAGAATTGTTTACTTACCATCGGTATTATTCTGCATAGATAAAGAATTCAAATTTTGTTCATCACCAACACTAGTATTATTTTCTATATTTGAACCAACCAAATAACTTTCAATGTGCTTATTCATTGATATCAACTGTTGACTTTGATACTGATTAAATGCTTGTTGCTGAGACGCGTATTGCTCAGTCGGAAAAAACAATTTGTTGGCATTGTCTAAATTCAAATGATGTTGATTGAAACTATAAGATGGATTGTGTTCATCGAACATTTTGCGCTTTTTTGAATTACAATTCGTGAAATCTTCTACTATATCCATATTTTTCTGATTATGTGAGTTTATATTGCTAATCAATTGTTCATTAGAATTAGAATGGAACTGTTGTTTAAAATGTTCAAAATTCAAAGTGTTCCATAAAGCTGTACCCATTAGATAAGACTGAATTGATTGAGTTGCACAGAGATTTGATGATTGATCAATTTTCAATGTGTCTTTGATTAAATCATCTGCATTTACACTTTTAGGTGGATATGTGATACCATCAGAATGTTCACTGCCACGTTTATCGAATTTGTTCATTTGATAATTGCTGTTTAGTTTGCTCAAATCACTTAAATAATGAAAATAACTGGAATCTGTTAAGCATTTTAAATCTTTAACTTCTTGCATTCGCTATGGAAAATTTCAAAAGTGAACAGAAATTCGAGTCAAACTTTTTCACAAGGAAGGCATTGATGGGGATTTTCTGATTGGGTAGGATTTGTCACCCAATCACATCTAAGGAGAGGGTTGAAGTTGCGCTATGAATTATATAGGAATGACTTTATGTACTAAATCCCGCAAAATCTTATTGCATTGGACGCTGTTTTTTTTGAAAGGAGAATAATTTATCCCATGGGACTGATTTTACTGATAATCGTCAGTTATGCAGACAAAAAATTGTAGAAAAACGTTTGTAGTTAACTTTTATGAATTTCAGAATTGAGGAAATTTCTCTGGCTAGGTAAAAAGATGAAAGCCGATGGTGGAAAATTCAAATTCAAATACATGTTCAGTGGTAATAGAAAATTTGATCATAAATAATGCAGTATATAATGTTCAAAGGATGGCAAATTTACCTAGCCTCCCTTTTGCACGTTGTTGATGGGTACCAGTTAACACGATGCGTCACCTGTGGGCTGGTAAAAAGCCACGAGAATCGGTGTTACAAATAGACCATGGTGACGAGATCATAGCAACGCTAGGTTAGTCAAGTTTTTCATTTGAACGCATAGGTTAGTTGTCAAATATTCCAGAAAAGTGAGTCAGCACCAAAGATCATTGTAGTTTAGGCGGTTGACTAGTTTATGCACTGATATACAAAGCTGCTTCATAAGTAAATTACCAAAGTATTAAAAGCATTTCAAGTCACTTAAGAACTTGTTAGGAGTATTGAATAGAAGTTTATCTCATCGCTTTGATAGCAAATCAGTCAAATATGTAAGAACCAATAGGTTGAGTTTATACTAGCATTTTTAAAAATAGATCAGTCCACTTTTAGACGACAAATAACACGGTCACTAAGATGAGGAGAGTAGAAGGTCACGTGTACGCGAATCAAACCAAGACAGCTGACCAATAATATCAGTATATGGATCTATTTTCCAGTGTTCATTTCGACACTAAGTGGTACAAGTTGAAATTACCGAGATAACATTAGTCTTTACACATTCTGAAGTCATGCCTTCCTGATGAGTGCCAGAGAGTATGAACTGTTGATTCAGTGCTTCTTGACGATTCGTTCCTAACACCATATTTTCTTAAACAGTTATTTGCTAATAGAATACAAACCATTTCCAAGAAATTCCACTTCTTAAGTCCTTATTGAATGAAAACTGCTTTACTAAGAAAAAATGAAAGGCAGTTACAAAAAAGATTATTTTTTCGATTGACTCATTTTCGAATCTGTTAAATTTTCAACATATATTTCAAAGGGTAGAATTTCCACAACATTTCTCTGTCAATGGCGAATTTCAACAGAAATATGAAAGTAGGAAACATTTGGTAATACAGCAAACAGTTCATAACGTTACGGTATGTTGAGGAATAGAACATAAAATTTAAGTAAAAGCAAAAGGGATTCCACAAATAGAAAGATTTTTCAGGCATTATACGATACAGATGAAAACAAGACAAAAACACAAATATGATATGAAAGTTGTAAGGACACATCGAAGAAAGTGATTGTGCGTATCCCTTTGAAAAACAGTTTAAGTTTGAATCTGGTGAGTACCAATTTTCTTGGCTACCCACAAACTTCATATCCTACTTGCAGCCTTCTATAACCTTTCTCTTCATATTATTATCTGCCACTTTAGTTGGTTAGTCATTTTGTAGGAATATTTTACGATTAATTTATAATTCTTACTTGACAGTCATCTGAGCATATATTTATCACCCTTGAAGATTGGAAAACGTATGATTTTTCTTCTACAGCTTATAGATATACACCTATAGAACTCTTCCAACTGACAAAATAAAGGGAGCTTCCTGTAGATCGATATTCTGATTGAACTGTATGGTCTTCTTTCAAGCCTAAAATTTAGTAAATGGAGAGTCAAGCTTGATTCAATTCCCAAAGCAAAACTGAAGAAGGCATAATAATTTTAGGCTTTAATCGAGAACAATATTGGTACTATTCATTTATCTTTTTTATGTATGAGATTAGTTGATTTTTGGGAGTAAAGTGCTGTTTTCTAGGTTAAGGACAAAGCAGTCGAATAAAAGTAACTGGGGAGGAGAAACTTATGGTTTTTGGCTTTATGATGTAGTCTTTATGCTTAACTTATAACTTTCAGAAAAGTATTGAAAACCAGTGAACATAGTAATGTCAGGTGTTAGCCTGCTGTTTACAAGCTTAAAGTGTAAAATAAACTAATTAGATTTTGATTTGACAGTCATATGAGATTAATGTCATTATGGTGTGTTAAGTAAATTTTTTTTAAACCCATTTTAATCTATGCAAAGGGAGATGCATGGGTTTAATCAGAGTCAAAAAATATCTTTCTTATAATTATCATCAGTTATAGAAATGAATTCTGCCAATCACCTCTAACTGTTAGAACTCAAAACAGCACAGTATCGAATCACTAAGCTTAGAGTTCTTAGTGCATAATATGCTAACATAAATCATCCAGCTCCAAGGTTATACAGCACAGTATTAGTTAACCTTGGAAAATTTGTCAGAATATGTTTGTATTACATTAACAGTAAAAGAAGTTAAAACGGCTTAATGCAATACGCACTTGAAAACTGAAGGACAGCCATAGTAGATAACGTATTGAGGTCTGGAGAGATGGATATTGGGTTCGCATGTGAATAGGAGCACCGTCACTGACTGGGGTGCAGGTACACTCAGCTGACAAGTCTCAAATAGGACGAAACGGGAGTTCTGGATTTCACTACTAGCTGCAGGTAAACTATGGCAACGCATTTATTTTAAAGGAGAATAAATCTTCTGAGGATCTTAATCCGTAAAGAGCATCTAAAGGTTGTCAGAAGCTCCGTGAAGAGTATATGAATGAAGATATATTGTGAGCGACGTTGATAAAAAGGTTAAATGTAAAGTGATAATCATATTTATCGATATACGCATGAGCCTATAATCGATTTTTCGTTGAAACGTCATCTATGGAAGCATAAAGAGATACATTTGTGTAAGTAGACCCATATAATCATTCGGTTTCTGCTTTTACTTTCAACTATCTCATTGAGTTTTATTTACAAAACACCAACTTCATATTAAGTGATGAAATAATGATGATTTAGGAAAAGTGATCAAAATTCCATATCTCCTTTAAGTGTTAAATTTTTTAAAACCGTTTGCTTATGATTACAATGTTGTGACGGCCTGCTTTAATATTGGGCTATTAAAAATTTTCCACCAAATATATTTAATCAAATTCTTCCCCTTCGAATTTGTTACTCATCTAATTATGTCTTTCAAAGGTGTCATGTACTGTCGCAAGTTTTTAAAGTGTTTTCAAACTAACAACAAAACAGAGGAAAAACGTTACGCTGATAAGAAATGGACTTATAAATACACGGAAATACAGCACAGTACCATCCTAGGCTACCTATATTTGACTGCAGATTCGCGTACTGGCTGAATAAACTACTACCACCAAAATTTTCCTCCTCTTTCTATTCACTCACCAGTCCAGACCAGGAGCTAATTACTTCATTTAAAAATATTCTACAAGAAGTGAGTTTGTTAAAATATTAAATGCTGAGAATTCCATGCTGTATCACACATTTCGTCCAGGATAAAGCAATTGTGATTATCAATCATTATTATTATTAAAGTCATTCAAGCACATTCAGTCGTTTTTTCACTTCGACAGAAATCATAACCACAGGTTTTCTTTAAGAAACTAAAGGTTTTATTTGATCCACTTTTATTTTATGATTGATCTAAAATCGGTGCATTACAGCTGTGGTTATTAGTATTTAACTAACATATGAGAAAAGGAGAGTTGTCACTGGACTTGGCCGATAGCCATTTTAATGTATTCTCGAACCAGAACCATTAGGGTTCTTCTTGCCGAGCAATAAGCTTAGCTGAATCACAAGTGTTCCATAAGTTACTGCCGAACAAGCGGTAGCTGTTGCTATTCACTTGCCTTGTGAATAAACTTGCACCATTCTAAACTAAATATGCTTTATTTGAGTCCCATTGGTTGAGCTAAAAACAGAAGGTGGAATTAGATGAAGGGAATAAATAAGAAAGAAACCTCTCGAAATGATTCTTTAGCTTTTCACTTATAAATACTCCGGTGATATCGCTGTATTTTCCTAATAATATTTAGTGCAATCTATCATCTTTACTAGGAACAAGATTTTATGAATAAACAACACTACTGTTAGCATTTTGTGATAAGACACCTGCATACACAGTGTGTATTTGTGCCTTTTTTTAATCCTTAAGCGTTAGCTGGCTAAAATAACTAATTACAGATAGGATGTTACTTTGTTCCACATTGTCACTTACTACTAATAAGATATCGTTTGTCAATCAAATTTAATTGGCTTAACAGTATACGATAGACAAACTTTTGGTAATTAATATCTCAGAATGGTAAAGAGTAGCGAAATGTGACAGGTAGGCTGGAGATTGTTATATTATACATTACTGACAGCGTAAATCAGATATTAACACCGATATTGTGAACGAACTTCTTTTATTTTTTAAGGAACAGTTAATTCGTGCATGCATCTACAGTAAGTAGAATCTTTTAGTCAGAAGATAAACATTCACTATTTATGAGTGGGGTAGTTCGGATTTCAACATGTTTTCTTTTCTCAATTTTTGTCAAGTGTAGTGCACATCTCTGTGCAGTACAAACCAGCAGATCATTATCAACAGTCAAGTAGAAAAACTTACTGCTATAACTGACTTGCTTGTGGTTATTAGTAGGATCCAGAATGCGCTTTTTGTTTTGTTATGAACTCATCAGTTGGATGTACCTTCACACCAGATAGTGGTCTTGTTCCCACTGGAACTCGAACATCGTACCCATCACTTCAAATGTCAACGCCTTATCCACCAGGTCACTGAGGTACGATACCTCTTGTGCAAAGAGTATTAGTTATTATTATTTGCTGATTACTGTAATTCCCCGTTATCGATCAATCTGA